GGCAAATGAGAATGAGAAAAACTAGCCTTGAGGGCGTGAGTAGAGATGAAAAAGCGATCACACTCGGGACAGGGACATCGACAGTCCGGATCGTGGATGATGCGATGTTTGAAGAGATCGGAGAGGTTTGCAAAACGCTGTGTGCAACCTACGGGAGACCAGAAAAAACCGTAGCATCGAAAAACCTAATCGATTGTGGAGGAGAAGGTCGTAAAACAGGGGAACGCACCCTCTTCTTCGCAGGCAATGGGCAGCAATCCGTGCTCCCGGTACTGATGCAAGTGAAAGGCGCTCTTTCGAACGAACTTCCTTTTGCACGTGCGGCAGGAAAGGCGTCGGAAGCCCTTCGGAAGGATCTGGATGACAAAAACACAGGAAATCTATGCGGCCAAGTGTTTTTTGGTCTCTTCAGTCTTCGCGCGTTTCTACCAACATTCTGTTGACTGACATTTTCTCACAACTTCTAGAATGTTGCGATAGACACGACCGATCCAGGCAGACAAAACTCCTGATTCACTTATTTGATTATCAAACCTAAAGGTCAGAGGGAAGACGTCTGCCGTGGATGAAAGAAGCTGTGAAGGGTCACCAAAGGAGAGCTGAAAATGAGCCGACTTTTGACAAGCGACCTCCAATACTTCCACTGAGGAAGTGGGTTGCACACGACATCAGCTCATCAGAGAGCACCTTCGTCGATACGACTCGCCTTGGAAGAACCTCAAGACTCAGGAATCTCGATCATTTCCAACAGTTAGCGCCTCCTCTATAATGCAAATCTAACGTGGCCATAGCCTAGGTAAAAGTGGCCACGAGGGTCAAGAATGACACGTAGAAGAGGTGAGAGAAACTATGTAATGCAGGGATGTTTTATCCCCGCATTGATAGCATGGCCTCCCTTCCAGTCCTCGTTCCCACCTATTAACCGACACTACCTCACCGCTTCAGATACTACTCATAAAAGGGGGAAAATCCCTCCATTTTGAAGCAGAAGGAAAGAAAAAACTATCTTTTTTCTACAAACCTGCAGCTTAGGTTCCCAAGTAGCATCCTCCGAATCCACCGAATGTAAAGACAACCGAGATTGCTTTGACGACTTGTCAAAGTGAAAATCGGATGAAGGCGACAGGCTGCCCTCTGTGGATTCTGAGGTATTTTTAGCAGCAGTGACCTTGAAGGTCGACTCAGAGTCCGTAGAGGAAGAGATAATCACAGTCACCTTTTTACGCTGTTTTGATGGGGTTGTGACAATTGCAGGCGTGCTTGATGGGGAAGGTGGGTCCAAACTCCACGTTGGCGTTGATAGAGGATCAAGAGGTTCTTGAGCTTTCGACGACGTTTCCTTCGAATGCAAAAATTCTATCGGTAGAACAACACCAAGACAATCTTTTCAAGTGATTCCCACGGTTCTATGGCAGTCAAAAGGACGTTTGGTTGAGGTGTTTCTAGACGCCACGTAGGGATCGTTGGAGAGCCAAAAACTTGTTTTGAGTCTAGGCTGTGGTTTCTTCAAGGGAAATTTCGGAAGCACAATCAGAGAACATGATGGCACTTGAGACATTTCAATCAGGACTTAATGTTTTGTGAAGGAATTCTAGAAACCACCCACAACGACAGAATTCAGTAACAATAAATCGACTGCAAGGATACTCTTCCTCTGGGAAAGGTTTAGAGAACATAATCAATGCATAAGTGAAACAGATAAATCAGGAATTCAAGCTCTCCCTCCTAATTCCAGGTAATGGATAGATTTGGTCCCAATCTTATTACCCTTTAGGAGGAAAGCACTAAGGCAACATTTCCGAGCCATTGCTGCGTTAGCGTGATAAGTGAAGGGGTGTTCAGTGGAGAAGATGACTCTGAAAACTACGTCGGGGTGGTAAGAGGGTCTAGGGAATCACTGTGACAATTTACCCTCAGAATTATGATGGTCAAGAGAAATCTAATAAGTGTTAACGATGTTGAAAGCATATCTTTGGGCCATCAAAGCAGCGAAAGTGCGCCTGTTTATGAGTAGTGAAGAAATAGTTGGTGATGACACTGAAGGCACACTCGGCAATGGCAAATGAAGGACTCACCATAACAGCATCTCCGCACGGTTGCGTCAACTTTATGGCAACAGGCGAAATGTTAGATGGAGGAGGTGGATCTGAACGCCACGTCGGTGTTGTTAGAGGATCGACATTTCGCTGATCACGAGAATCGCCTTCCTAAAACGCAAAGTACTTAAAACATAAACACGCGCTCAAGTAGAGATAGATAAACGGCACTGATTAACGGATAGTACTACTTTTTGGAATAATGACAGGAATTTGCCTCCTAATTCAGCACCACAAGGAAGTAAACGGAGAAAGCAATGAGACAACCTTTTGGGGTAGAGTTGGCACTCGACTAAAACTGGCGAGATACCGAGTAAAGGAATCCCAACTAAATTTTATTTCGGAGTCGAAATTTTGTTGGTAACTAAGATACTCTCCATCTAGGGGAAGCTCCCAAAACAATCGAAACCCAAGAGTTTAGAATAGTATTGCAGTGTTTGAGTAGTCGTGCCATAAGATGCACGTTTTCCAGAAGGCCTATGAGGAAGTTGTGTGACCGGTATTTTATTGAATGCTGTAACCATCCCTCCAATTACTCCGGTAAATAGACATAATTACCTGAATTTACTATTAACACTGTAAAAGATGAACACTACAAGGGCAGAGTCGTACAGATCGTTTCAGTAATATGTTCATCAAATAAACTAGTTTTATACAATGGAACAAAAAAACCTACATAAAAAAATGGGTTTGGAAACAAATTGAGCATTTGGAGCGTAAGATCGTGATTTAAAGGTCTCTAGATGCCTTGAAGTCACCTTTGTTGAATAAATGGAACCGTTACATGAAAATTATACCATTTTTACTTAGGAAGGAATGTCTTTAAAGCGTCATTTTAAATACATCGCAGCACCAAAAGGAAGATAATATATATATTGAGTATATATAGCAATGCTAATACACTTCAACAAGATGCCAACTAGAAAACCACACATTATCCTAAAGCGAAGTAAAGATGAAAATTTGCGGCTGTCTAAACAAGTGACTTTCAAAAATTTGCATGAATAAAAAGCTAGAGACGCCAGAGTCAAGGCCTAGTGATCTAATGTAGCAAAACGGTGCAGAGTGTTTGAAAAAAGTTCGCGGTGATGATTAACAATCAGAGGGGAATATTATACAACTAATTGAACAAATCGAGGACCGATGAAACGAACCGAATTCATCCACTCATGTATTCAGTATTTGAAATGTGCGAACCCCTCAAAGCATTATAAACAAAAGTTAATTAATGCTTTTTTTAAAAATGCCACAACATAATCCTGCTAAGAGTATATAAATTGTAAAACCTGTTTACATGATAGCGACATAGCTTAATTTGGTTGCAGTTCATTTTGAGCCAGTTTGAAACTTATGTAAAATCATCTAATGCAGTCTAAAGCATTTTCTACAAGAAAATTAAATCTTTGTAATATGTCTCTTTTAAAAGCAGGTTGCTTTAGGTATTAGATAAGCCGCTTTAGGTTCTCAGGATACTAAGTGATTCCTAAAACATTCAAAAACAAGAATACAATTGCTAATATGGGGCGTCTGCTTAATGTTTCGACAGAAGTCTGTTTGTAAATTGAATCCTGATTTAGTGATTTCTGCCTCGAAACTACATGAGCACAAATTCTGGAGGCTCTTTAACATGCTCATCACTTATTTTGATGATTCGAATTCTAGTCAGATTCCAGTGCAAGTAAAGTCACAGTCAATTGTGCTGCAATATCTGATGCTTGGGGTCAATTTTTGTTTATTACTTGCATTGACTACCAAAAGCAAAAAATGATAATTTTGGATTTGCTAATATAGCATGTTTAGCCTAAAACTACTGTGTATTTGCACTTTTTGTAGTAGGAGACTTAGCCAGCTCTGCCTTAAACAGACACTCATCACTTATACGTATGTTCGTTCTGACATTTTCCCTTTATAATTGTTTTGTAAGAGCCTGAGGTTCTTCAAATATGCAATACCTGCCTTTTGTTTATTTAAGTCCTAACTCTCCGTTTTGGTGCTGGGGCCTACGCATTCTGGCACGGCAGGCGTGCTGAAATGGCACGCGGTTTTTCTCGTCTTCTGGTCGTGGCCGTCGGATCTTGTTTCTCTCCTGCTCTGCAACGCGTAGCGTTGTGGTACGGTGGACACCTCGTGATAGCTAGCTATTCTCTGCACTCTTAACGTTTTGTTGAGCAGTTATCTTGTATCTTCTTAGGTTCCAGTAAGTTGCGGTGGCGCATTTTGGTCCTGGGCCATTAAGAACCGTCCGAATGTGTGAGTTGAAATATATATATATATATATGATGATGACTGGTAGTCGCCCCAGGCATAAAGTTATGTTGAATGATTCTGTTTGAAATGTCCCTCACTGTTGCATCTAATTTCTTAATTATTAGCGGGTTGCGGAGTCACGTTTGGGAACAGATTCGCCCTGTTTACTGTAAGTTTTCTGGACTTCTTGTAAACCCCGCCGGTCGTGGCAAGCTACCCCCTCTAAAATGTCACCGTTATTTCCGTTTTCAGGTAGGGCATCTTGTCTAGCGGTAACAAGCAATCAGCAGGTGAGCTATTCCATTATGATGATCTTTTATCGCCCCAGTCATAAAGTTATGTTGAATGATACTTTCTGAAGCTTATTCATCAATAGCTTGTTTCAATTTCAGGCTTTTCCTGTATGGCTATGTACAACCGAGTTGGAGCTTGCACATTGCCTTGGGGCTTGTAAAGTAAAACTCGTTTTAATAAAATTTATTGTCTACCATTTATCTTGTCATTGATTTATTTCCCACCGTTGGGCTCCTCCCGAATATGATTTTGTATGATGATTCTCCAATAGATGGCAGTTTCGGGATGGGCTCCCTCATTGGCAATATCTGAGGAGACAATAGGTCTTGGGTTACTAGAAGGCTTGTCACTTCTGAAAGAGACTCAGCTGCATGAGGCACCTACCTTCTTTGGTCCTTGTGCCTTCTCAGCTTTGTACTGCCTACGAATTTGCTCCCGCCGCTTGGTCAGCCTGTATTCCCGCGCAATTTCTCGGCTCGGCGGCATTTCGCTTAATGCACGGATCATGCAGACATCCAGGTGTCGTTCCCTTTTCTAGACTTAAAAGTGAACATCTAGTCTCATTCTGCTCACCCTGACTTCGTTTTGCAATTTCTTGTGCTCAAAGTTGCTGATGATTAGCTCAGCATACTTTGTCTCCAATTGTTTGCGTAATTTGATGAGCTTCAGTTGGATGCCATTCACCTTCATTGCCATGCGGAGTGTGTCATCTCTAGAGGCACGAATTTTATGTTACTGAGTCTGCGTCAGTAGCTGGCACCGAACAAGCCTCTTATAACCAATTTGCGGAACGGCTCTACATCCGCGTAGGGGCATACTGCCTTCCCACCTCGACCGCGATAACCCCTTAGGGTCTTACTGATTGAAAAGAGGAGCTGGCGCCAATACCTGTTTGCTTATAGAGCTTGGAATCACACTCCTGTATGAGGAATAATCCGCACTACGAATCCACCTGGAGGGAAGTCAAATTTCACTGGTACAGTTCAAATAGGCTTGGCTGTTTGTCTAGCTGAGGGTAGGAGAAATGAGGAACTTGTGAGAGTGTCTACTACCCCCCTAATTAATCACTTTAAGTTCTTACTTTTCGTGTTAAGGGAGGAATGCGTTCAAATGTCAGGAGGCCAGGCTGCCCTTCAAATGTCAAAAAGTACAACTATGGATGTGGCAAATATTATTTGTTCGTGTCTATTAAAGTGCCTTAAAATGAGTCAAAAATCCACTACGAGGGAAATATAAACTTGACTCGTATATGTGACGTCCTGCAGTCCCTGCCTGAAACCGAAGGCACGATTACCGTTCCCCCCCCCCCCCCCACCTCATCTATTTATCTTTTAATTGCACCTTCTCACCTGTTAGCATCCGTTTTGACACGAAGGGCATCCACAAGTCGACCAATTGCCTCATAGGTTAAATTCTTCTCGGCCAAGTCCTCCTCCTTCGCAGCTAGGCGCTTCTCCAGTCGTCCAAGGATGACCCATAACTCCGATTGGCTGGGATCTGCTCCACCCAGTAGTCGCAGACGCCCTGGGCGATCGGGATCCTCGAACCATGCCACCAGCTGTGCCTTGTGGGCGCGAATTCCAATCAACTGAAAGGTGAAATAAAAGGGACCCCTGAGGTTGATGTACTACCTTCATCAGTTTGACTGCAGTCGTATGCAAGGGTATCTCCTACTGTGGCAAATTTTTCTGGACAGTAGACATCTACTGCGAATGGCTGGATCCGTGAAGACTCACTACAGAGTGAGTAGTAAAACCGCGTCGGATATTGACAACTACCCCAAAGCAAAAACGTGAGGCCTTCCAAGGATGAGTGATACAGTAGCTACTACTAGGCTCGGTACTCTCCTCTCGACACCCCTATCTCACAGGCTCTTCCAATGACCAATGCAGAATGGCAGCATGGTTGGGGTTGGGTCGAGTGTCAGTGTTTGCCTTAACTTACTTTGAACACACCTACGTGAGGGGAGATCTTGAAGGGTAAATCTCACCTCCTGAATGAGGCCGTGGACACTGCCCTCCATGTGCATTTTCTTGGGGACCTGTTCTCGCAACAGATGGATCATATGTTGAATCTGCTTTAGGTAGAGTTGTGACGTCTGATACTCGGCTTCTAATCCACTTAGATCCATTTTGGCTGATGCCATGGCAATCGTCTGATACTTCTCACGCTCCTAAAGGGTAAAACACATTTCCAAGCCTTTTCCACTTAAGGGCTGGAAAATTATGGGGAGGAAAGACGAGGAATGAGATGGGTCACCATTGTCCCCGGAAGAAGGGAGAGGGGTACTTTCTTCTCACTGGTTCACTCGCCCTGCCTGCCACATATTCGAGGTCCGTCCGTAACTATTCGGGACTTGGAAATTGATCAGCCTCTGGTGAACAGGAGGATTTTAATCGGAGAGGAAGCCCTCTTTTATTTATCCTATCCCTGGCAAAGACTGCAAAACTGGTGTGTTTGGTGTGATTGCAACTTACCCAATCATTTTTCTAGTGGCTCAGACCAGGACTACTAACCTGCAAGAGGTAGACCTCCTGGTTCCTTTCAATGAGTAGTATCGCTCGCTCATTTCTTAGCTTGGCATTCCTTTCACAAGCCTTCTTAAGCGCAATGCTGCTCGCCTCAGCCTGATTGTACATCAGGGTCAGCCGATTCAACTTCAACCGCATTTGTTCGCGTTTGGCATTCTGCACGGCTACTGCAGCGGCCACCTTGCAGAGATCGTGACGTTTGTGATCCCTCTGCGCCACTAGCCGGATGGTCGTGGATCGCACCGTTGCTAATTGAGCTTCACTGCGTTGTGCTGCAGTCAGGAGTATCTCCGCTTCATTCCCCCTTTGACGAAGACGTTCACGAGTTGCTGAGGCGACTTGAACAGCCGCCTGGAGGAGGCTGACACAGTTGTTTCGCTCCTTTTTCACGTCCATGTAGAGATTGGAGACGTCATTCAGCCGTGTCTACAAAAGCAAAGATGATTGTTTACCCGCTTGGCTGCTTTACTGTGGTTGTGGGAAACGTTAGAGGACCGAGGTCGGGTCGAAGACTCGTGGATGATAAACTCATGATGGTGAGAACTCGAGACGAGGTACAAAAGGAAATCTATGTCATCATCGATTCCTGTGAGGGTTCACTAAACTACCGCCTTTTGTGTATCGCCCAGTCACCCCTTTTTATTGGCCTCTCCGTCATTGTTCGCCCGTGTCCATAATCTGTCAAGACAAAGGTGGGCCAGGGGGACTATGCCCTCAGGAGGCGCTGGAGGGCTGCAAACAAGCAAACATTTGTCGTAAATAGCTGCATTACAGAGGGACTGCCAAGGTCACTTCTAGTTGAAGAAAATCATTTGCTGTGAAAAATGCGTTTAGCGCCCAGTACTGCATTCCAGGCAAATCGTTCTCCGACACGGTGTGCTTTGAATAAGGCGCCATGTTTAATTATTTACACAGAGCTTTTAATGTTACCGACAACGTAGGTGGTATTTGGCTTATGAGGCAAAATACATCACTTCCTATTCATTCATGGGTGTTGAGATTCAGCAGTAGGAGAAGGTCTGTGGCAGGTGAAAAAAAAGGACATTAGGTGCTGGCGTTCTACCATTAATACCACTTTTTATACACCTGTCAGATGTCAGCCACTGGATATGTGAAGGGGAAGCTAGAGGGTCCAGAGGGCTGCTGAGGCATCCTTCTTTTTTCCAGCAAAGATAGCATTGACTAAGGTTAATTTTCGTTCCTTTTCTGCGAATTCTCGCCTGATCGACCCCACACACACATAAACACGTAGGAATGTCAGATTGCAACAGTAAAAGTCGGAAATTTTGCAAAATAGGCAACCCAGTTCCAAAATATGAGGAAGCCATAAAATTTATGTGGGAAAGCACGAAGAAAGAGATGCTGCCGGGTGGCAGTGAGGTGGGGGGGGGGGGGGAGAGTAAGTCATGGAATTGTGGTTCCCCACCCTCTAATATTGATTGTGTAAGAGGGTTTAAATAGAGCCAATTAATTAACAAAGGCGAAATAATAAAAAATGCAGCTTCGCATAAATTTACTAACAGTTTTTTGGGAAGAATGATTATCAGCCCTAGTGGTTTAGTTTATTAGTAAAACAGTTTACTTTTTGCTAACAATATATTATTTATGTACAAACATTGTAAATAACTGAAATTTCAGTGACTCCGATCTTGTTTCACGGATTTTTAAATTCAATCTAATGTTAATAAAGGCCAGTTTATACTAATGGTAGCCTTAAAGTAAGATAGTTAATTTTGTTTGAGTTAGTAGTTCTCGGAAAATCATTTCCCCATTTAAGTCGTCATGATAGATTTCTAAGCGCAAAATTGATGGCGTTTTTGCATTTGTAGAGTTAAAAAAGTGTTGTAAGAAGGTGTGGCTTCGGAAATAGCACAGTGCATGACCTATGGATTTAATTTTGAACCGTCATAGTATTTCCATAAGAAGGTAGCTAGTTTAAACCTAACTTGGGTGTTTGTTTAAAATTTTGCAACGGATTTTTGGAAGAGTGACGCCTTTACCATAAAGTGAATGCACACTTTCGGTCGTGACGTCTTTTTAGGTGGAATGACCCGAGACCATTGGCAAGTTCTCTACTTTCTGACTAGTGTAGTCATTTTCCTTCCTCCGAGACGGGGACATGATCATTATTTCTATGCACTTTAGACTAGGCGAACTTTTATACCGCCCAGACTTGTGCCCCTCTGTATGGCCTTTCCTCTGTACATGCTGGTAATAAATAATTCGCACACTCTCTGACACGCTTTATTACGATTTGTAGCATGCTTTGGGAGGGGCTGTAAACGCATCCCCTCCAAGGGAAAAATAATTCTGAATTCGTTTGGTGGTTACCGAGCCTAAGGAGTTACCGAGGCGTCAGTGGCGGCAGCCAAAAAAAGACATCTGCCACAAGTAGCGAGGGTGGTATTTCCCTTTCCTCGGTGTAGAATAGCCTACAGCGCCTTAGCGCTACAGTTCCAGTGAGGTACCTCTCAGCTCATTTTGCTATATAAAAGGCATAGCACTGAAATTTTCCTGATCGGACCTCCGACCACGGGGAGGTAGCATCCTCTCTTTTGATGCGGATTCACCAGGTTGTTCCTGTCCTCTTATGGTCAAATCAGAAACGTGGGACTTGAAGGAGGGGATGAGGAGGGCCCGCTTAATAGCTGTCTCCATGTCTCGGTAGCGCAGCTCTTTAAGCACTGATAATAAATCTTGCAATTCTTTTTGTCTTATTATGACCTCAGAGGGGCCTGGAAGAGGATGAAAACCACCTTTTACACCAAGAAGGTGTCCTGGCCTCTACTTTACTCCTCCCATCGATGAGTGGATGGATACGTCAGTGGTTGCCCTCTCCCGCTTAATTCAGTACTCAATTCCTACTTCACATTTCACCTCCGGTAATAAATATCTATTTTATCAACTATATTAGGTGGAATTTAAACATGTGCATGAGTTCCTTCGTCACAAAGAGCCAAGACTGGTTTGGTGATCAAGGCCTCACACCCCCAAATGTCAGACCGTCTTAACATTTACGAATTAGAAGATCTGAGCATCACGCCCCCGGTTTTCTCCCAAGGGAATAATCCGAGGCCAGACAATAAAAACTCACCTCAAGTGTTTGCAACTCATCCAACTGGCGTTCAATGAGACGCAACTTGATTTGACAATCCTCAGCAAGGCGAGAGTGTTTACGAAAAGCCCCGTTGAATTCACACACTGCACGTGCCATCTCCTCGGACAGGGAGGTGGCCAGCTGAAGGAGCTCCGAATTCTCCGCCCTACTCCTCTCCAACAGGGACAATCGACGTTCAGACAATACTACAGCCTGATTTATGTGCACATACTCTGCTGCCATTCGTTTCTCCTAAAAAGAAAAGGGAAGCAAGGAATTGCAAGGCAGTCCTTTGATGAGTGTGGGATGAATCAAGGAAATACTTTTTTTCCTTCTTTTTCAGTGCATATGGCTGGAAGGAAAGCAAAGCAACAGTTGTTTTCAATTTTCCCCCGGTTTTGATTAACTCGTGGTCCGTGACTGATTGACATCGAGAAGAGCTGTCGCTAATGCCGATTGCAGGTGTTGAAGCGTCAACTGGAATGGCAAAGTCGTGATGTAGGCTTCAAATTAACTCGGTACCACATCCTAGTGTCACTTTGACATGACAAGGAAATTTAACACGTATTGGCATGAGTGAATATCCACCAGTCTTTTCTTTTCAAGGAAACCTCCTGAATGAACATCGTGGTATAATAGAATGCAGGAATCAGCTTGATGTGTAGATTTAGGCGAAAGAAGAAGAGGAGACAGAAGAGGAACGTGATCATGCATGACGTTGTTCGACAAGCAAATGTCATGATCTTTGTGCATTACCATCATCTGACCTTCCCATAACTTGCTTGCTGTAAAATGTCAACAAGCAAGTGCTATGGCACCTAGCCAAGTGCCCCCTCCCCCATTGTTGAAGGCCTCAGTGGCATTTTGAGAGCCATCTGGCACACGTCAAATGGCCTAAAAAGTTCCTGTGAGTGTCGGCATGCCTCCTCCCTCCCACTCCCTCCAAATCCTCCCCTTTTCTTATTCCCCTCTCATTGTGTATCTGTGCGCATGTGTGGAGAGTAGACAGACCTACTAACTGTGGAGTAGTTGTGTCCGAGATCCAATCGGATGGGGACAATAACAAAAATCGCTCTTGCTCTTCTTTAACCTCTTCCGAAGTTGTCAAGCCAGAGGGCTCGAAGTCCCAGCCACGCTAATCATCTCTACCACTGCCTCCTTAAGGTATCTCAGGAGTCAGTTCTTTGCGAAATTCGCCCAAAGGGATATGGGCATTTTTTTGCGTCAGAAAACCAGACAGGAGGCATTAATCACTAAGGGGCAATTTGTGACTCCTTACAATGTACGTAGCGCCAACTTTTCAATCGTAAAACCTATTTGCTGTAATGTAGGAAAAAATGACTGTTGAACAGCAGAACATTTCTCTTGCTTTTCTGTGCAACGACCACAGGAGGGCAGGCATTCTTAAAGATATTTTATCCCATGACCTTGTAAATAATTACCAGGCTTTGAGCTGATTGGCTAGAGGTGACCTGAGCCCCCCACTAATCCATCCTTCACGATCCCAAGAAAAGGCTTCTCTTTCTGAGGACATTAAGATGAGAAATGGCTAACTTTTTTGCAAATTACTCAAAAAATCTAAAATATTTATAGAATTTTGCATCCAAAACACCCAATTGGTCGAAAATCAACTTATTAAAACTGGGAAAAATTAAAAAGTGAAGTTCATTAATCTCACCTCTTCAGCAATATCAGAATGCAGATTTCGAAGGAATTCATTTAACTTTTCTTTACGTTTTACAAGTGTATTGTCATACTTCGGTGTAACTGCTAACCGAGCTCGGGCTTTTTCAAATACTGCTGTAGTATTCTGCAAAGGCAAAAAAAAGAAGGCAAGAAAGACTAAAAATAGTAAACATTGATTTAAATAAATGTTAAAATGTTTGTCATTTGTGGTCTACATTTCAAAAGCGATTACTACAGGCTTTAAGTATTGGCGTCACATATGTGTGACACCTCTGTTTTAGCAAGGTGTCACAGACATGTGACATGTATTTCCAACCACCGCCTGATGATTGGCTATATCCAACTATGTTACATCCAGATTGACTGGATTTTCAAGAAATAAAATGGATAGAGGACTGTGGATTGGAATGAGTGCTATTGACACCTCCACTTGGTTTTTTGTAAAAAGCATCTGATCTATCTCGAGTGAACAACTAAAGAAAGGCTACTGTTTCCTTTGAAGAGCAAAGGAAAAAACATCCTCTCTTCACAACGTACCCTATCGCTTTAAAACACCATCTTCGCCTCCGGACAAAAGGCGAAGGGGGGGATAAACAGATTTGCTTGCCACCACTTGCCTTTACGAACTCCATACAAATATCCAGCTGAGCCTGCGCCTTCTTCATTTGTTTTACACTGCTATCCTTCTCCCACTTTAATTTACTTTGCTCCTGCTGGCACTCCTTCTTCTCCGAGGCAAAGGTCTCAAAACGTTGGGTCAATTTGGCTCTTAAAAAAAAGTTGTTTTGATCTGTGCTTTTGACTCATGCATCACCACCCAGTAAGTGATTTCATCCCCTCAACTTTTACTTTCCCCTCGTAACTTGTTCACTTGTCGTTACTTTATTGGATGATTCTATTAGGTAACCTCACACCCCAAATGCTAGCTAGGCTAAGCAAAGGTGCGACGAATATCCTCTCTCTCTTTGTATGTGTGCATCATTTTAAAGCGGAAACATGTAGTGGTTAGGCCTGCTAGCTGGATGAAGGACGTAAGCTAGTTATTTATCTGCTGTTAGACATGCACATACAAACACGTCGCTGGGTGTTAGGGGATGGGAAAAAACCACATATTTGTGACATACTTTTCAGTACGTGAGACCATTTCCAGATCCTGCCAACTGGCACAACTGCGAATCAAATCCTCCGTTTGCTCCTTGTTTAAATCAACCCTTTCTTTGTTTCTTTCAATCTCGCTGCATGAAAAAGAAGGAAAGGGTAATAGCAGGAAAAGTGTTGTTTTATATTAAAGAAAATTGCTTAAAAAAACAGTAAATGAAGGGGCGACTTTTAACATCCCAACATCAAATCAACAAGTGTCAAGGTCATAGCTACTTATAAAGCCAAAATTAGTAGTATGGAATCTGGTGGCACTTTTTAAGCCCATTTTGCATCATTAATGAGGTAGACCGAAAGAGATGTCACCACTTGACTGCATATCTCTGCTTTGAGAATTACGGGCCTTGACGGCCAACATACATGCACACAAATGTGTACGTGTGTGTGTGTGTTTGCATGAGGCA